TCTCCGGATCATTGCCTTGCTCATCTTTTACATATAACTGCATGGCTTAACATTGTCATGTTTCCTAGCTCATCACCTTTCCCTCTCTTGATTAGTTAGTCCTTGAGATCCTGCTTTCCCTTTCGACACTGACATTTTAAAAAGCAAGCCAACGATTTTACAATGTCCTTCAATGTGGAATCACTGTTTTTCTCATTATTTGAAGCTTTGTTTTCCTTTCTGGGACAGGGGTTTTCTAGGTAGTTCAAGATGGCGTTGAACTATGTAGCCCAGTCTGGCCTTGAACTTGTGGTGCTTTTGCCTCAGTCTCTCTGACGCCGAGACTCCACATATGTGCTATTCCTCCTCCCCATTATTTGAAATCTTAAACATTTTAACAGAAAAACCACATAAATGATATTATGGTCTCCTTCTATCATGTCAGGAGGCGCATGATGGCAGTTTCCCCAGTACGAAGATGACTATTGTCATGTGGTTAAGATGCTACTGATGAATAAAAGATGGTTTTCATGAGATTTCATTGGGGAAGACACAAAAATTCCTTTGGGAAATTCATAATTTGTGGGGCTATACTTTGAGACTGTGAATCGCTGTTCTGCAATAAGATTTCACCGTTTATTTCAGTATCCATTGAAGAGTCTTGCCTAAGTCAATTATTGCTCTGATGGTTGCAACATGAAGCAATATTACTTTAAAAGTAGGGCAATTCATCACACAGTGTCAGATAAAATGAGTCACAGAGACAGGTATTAGAAGACATTTGACACACTAATGTGAATCCTATAAATCGTGCTGCAATGAGTGTGCCTCTCTTTAGGCATTTTCTAAATACCTCACAGTATTGCTGTATCTCCTGCAGTCTGATATATCACATTTCATGAGTATCTACTTAATTATAAGAGCTCCCAATGTGAAAATGTTAACTACAAATGGCAAGCAAGAAGTTGAAGAGTATAACAACCATCGTCGAATTCCTATCATCTTGTTTTTTGAAATTCTGTATCGTTTCTAATGTTTTATCTTTTTTTAGTTGCTTTAAAATAAAACTAAATAAAAAGAAGTTAAAGAGATTGAGGAGAGAGACTGAGGGCACAGCTCAGTGATATGTGCTTAGCATGCTGTGTGTGCCAAGTCCTGTTCAACCTCTGGCACCAAAAAAAAAAAAAAAAAAAAAAAAAAAAGATCAAAGAGGAGAAAATCAATCATATCAATCATTTATTAATTCAATAAATACTTATTACAAACCTAGTATGTTTCTCGGTGTGGTGGTGCACACCTAAAATCTGGTGTGGAGGCTGACAGGAGGATCACTGAGTGTGAGTCCAGCCTGGGCTATAGAGTAAGACCCTGCCTCATAAAAAATAAAAAATAAAAAAAAGAAGAAAGAAAGAAAAAAAAAACCCTACTATGTAAGGAGGTGTGAGGAATTCACTAGTGAACAAAAGAGATAAGAATGCTTGCCTCAGGCTGGTGAGATGGCTCAGTGGTCTAAAGCATCTACTTGGAACAAGCTTAGCAGAGCACAGGGACCATGGTTCAATCCCCCAGCCGGCCCCCTGG